ATTTTCACAGAGGTAGAACTGTGGTTACTCTTGGCAAGGCAACTTTCCTTTGCATTTACATGGATACAGTAATCACACCACTGGATATGACTGGGGCTAAATGTATGACAGCTCCACAGTTTGACAGAAGAGGCAACTAGTATTCCTTGTTCTTGAATACCAACTTTCACACCCTCTGGATAGCGACAACAATGTCATAACTCCCTATGGAAACCCTTAAAAAGATGTGGGAACTTGATATTGACACACAAATTCTTCCCAAGGACTGCGATAAAATTTGGGAATCACGACCCTTAAAATCTGTTTCCAGTTTTCTGAGGGACAACTCCTTAAAATTATTACACAGATGGTATCGCACTCCTTGGCAAATGCCAAAAATGTTTTCTTCTATGTCACCTAACTGATGGGAGGGGTTGCAATGAACTTGGTACATATTATCATTTATGGTGGGAATGTCAGTTGATGCAAGATTTCTGGAATTTAATTTTGACAGAAATGTAAAATATTACTAAGGAAACTATTGTTTGTTGTCCAAAATCAATGTTACTGAGTATTTTTGATGATGTCAATGTATATATATTGTCAAAAGAATTGTTTGATCTTGGCAACACGAATAGTAATTGCAACTCAATGGGAAACAGTCCCAAATCTTACACTGGACACTTGGTACCACTCACTCTGGAATACAGCTAAAATGGAGAAAAGTCACACGTAATTTGAGATTCCAGCAAGGACTAGGATGTCCAGACACTTATAAAAAATATCATATCATATAAAATGATTTGGCATTCATTTATGACATATAGATTGGAACCATCATTTTCAAGGCAACCCTCGTCACAAGCCTGGGGCAAATATGGTACTAGATGATCTGATAAAGTTGCTAATCTTTACTTGGGCTATGTTATTTTAGCTACTCATCCAATGTGCCTATGCTATAGATTCATTTTTCATCTTTTAATTTTGGCTGTTGTTATAACCAATGTCATAACTTCCCAAAGACAAACAATAGATTAGAGGGAGAAATGAAATTGAAAACTGAAAGTTTCCCTGTTGGCAGAGATTTAAGTGTAATGAAATAACCAAGTGTACACGCTACAACAAAAAACAGGAAGACCAAAACAGCTTTAAAATGTGCAGCATCTACTTACATGCGTATCCTCCAATAAATTCTAAACATAAGAGTGTTTGGGTATTGACAAAATTTACTGGAGGGTGAGCATGGATGCTTTAGCTGGGATCCCTCAAGGTCCCTACCAGCTCTACAATGTTATGATCCTAAACAAGTAAAACTTTTGATCTATTTTTGTTGTCTGTTTCCTAAAGTTTGTCTGAACAACAACATTACATGCTGGAAGACAAATTCTGCATCAGTTCCATTATGCTGACTTATTCATGTACTCATCTATATGCAGTAGAAAATAATCTGCTTCCAAAATATTGCTATAGTACTTATGAGAATTACTGAACAGTCCAATGCTTGTCAGGTAGTAGTGGGGAACACTGCTCATGGAGTTCTGTTCCTTTTGCTGGCAAGTCATTCAAGCCTGTCTTGGTGCCACTTATCTAAAAATAGGGGTGGTATTTATGTATCTCAGAGGGATGTCATTGTTCTAAATTGATGATTATTTATAAAATACTCCCGGTATATTGTGTCACAGACTATGCAAGCGGAATTTGACAGGAGTAAACTTTCTAGCTAGCTATTCAACACACAATAATAAATATTTGAGTCACAACCAGGTGGCAAAGAGATCTTTGCTATGTGTTTACACTTGATGCTGCCTGCCAAACCTTTAGGGTGGAAAATGGAGAAGAAAGCAAATAGTCAAGAGTCTTGGCACATTTTGGAAATAAGTGGAAGCATTCAGACATCTGAACCTGCCCCACAGTGTGCAAAGATATCAACCTTTGGAGGACTGAATATTAAAATTATTGTAAAAAATCATTCCTAAGTCTTCACATCCTATACTGAGACATGAGGAGACATGAGGAGGAGGCAACTGTCTGAATTAGGAGTTAGTTCTTCAAAGTATACTTCACTGAGAAAATAATCCCCAGAATTATATTGCTAATGGTATATAGTAAGTCAATAAAATTGGTTAATTGGTAAACATGCACCCCCATGATCAACATCATCATCATCAACATCATCATCAACAACAACATCCGGCTCATTATTTCTCAAAACTTTTTCTCCCTGTCTTCATTTTGGACTTTTCTACAACACAGACTTCGTATTTTATTCCTTGGTCCAGTAGATCCAGTAGAGAAGCACAAAATGAAGACAGAAAGAGACACAGTTTTGTGCAATAATCTACTGGCCCCAGAAAGTTATTGGCAGTCATAAACACTGCACTCTTAAGATATTCAGTTTTACACTCTGCACCATCTAGCAAGGAGATTCCAATTTTTTTAATAAAAAAAACCTCCTCGGCAGCTTCTTCAATCATCTCCCTACAGTTCTTCCACTGAAATGAATTTACTGTCTGGATAAACTGTCTTCAGAAAGAGAAAAAAGAGAAGGAAGAAAGGCTTGAAGAAAGAAAGCTGTCATCAGTGATAACACCAGAGCTCATCAGGACATTTCCCATAGCTACACCCTGAGGAAGACCACAAAAAATGCAGGCAGTGCTCAAGGGTACTTACCTCTGACTGCATAGGATCAATTTGTAAAACACAATGGGCTATAGCAAATGATGTTCAGCCAGCTGCAATACAACCTAAACCTAAAGGTTTGCTTTTAATCAGCAAAGGACTATTATCATATAAACTGAAGTACAGGAACTCCATCAAAGGAAAGGAAAGTAGTATCTAGCCTCTCCTTATCTTCATCATCTTCCGACTTCCTCTATGCCAATCTGTCACAAACCAACTTGAAAGACTCATTATCACCTTGTTCACATGCCAAATGAAGAAGGGTCCATCTATTTTCACTACTCTCCAGCAGATGACACTGTCACTCCTGCTCTGAAAAGGTCCTCTGCATTTCTCCTCCACTATCACTGTCTGTAACCAAGGAAGCTGATCAAATCCTGGCAGAAAACACTTTAGCCATTTTTAGCAATTCTGCTTAGAGCAAGCATTTCATGTGGATCTAAGCCCCCTGGAAAAAAATCAATGCACTTTCCATCATTACATTCTCTATTACAGAAAATATTCTACAGAGCCAAACATTGTCATATTTGATTTCATAACATATGCAAACCAGCATGATTGCAGACACCTGCAGGATCATCTACATGGTGTTGTTGCAGCCAGTTTATCATTGCTGCTGTTTCCTAAAGACACATTTGGGGCTTAATATCTTCTCACGCTATTAATTTCTTTATTAACACTTGGCATTGCTTTTCTCTCCCCAGTTCAGATCATAAATGGGTTTCATATTTCCTCAACACCACTGAACCAAACAAGCACAGAACAAATAAAAAATGTGAATAGCAGTCTCAAAGCTTTCGGGCTCAACATATAACAATATAAAGCACAATTTCATTTTTGTCGCAGATTCGTATGTTGTACAATGCTTTAAAACCACTAGATCCTTACAATGGCCTGGAAAGGAAAGGATTCATAGAAACCAAACCTATCCATCATAAAAACACCACAATGTGCTGAATGCAGGATCTTTGCAGCAGCATGACACGCCCAACTTGCTCTAGTGACCCATCACAGAATTGTAGAGTCCAACCCCCTACAATGCAGGAATATGCAGCTGTCCCATATGGGGACTGAACCTGCAACCATGGAATTATCAGCCCCAAGCTCTAACCAACAGAACTACAGTGATTTCTCCAGATCTTTATTACAAGTGAATCTCATCATTTATTCTTTCTACAGGAAGAACTCATTCTAAATCTTGGCATTCCAATACGAAATCCATGCACTCCAGCTTCTAATAGACCATCCCATTAAGTGACAATAGAGCATCTTCTGCTTGGACCAATGCTGCTAATTTGCTTTGGCAAATGGCCATTTCTGCTGTAACTGCACATCGTTCTTATTAAAGTTGAGCAGATGGCAGACAGTTTCCATCTTAAACAAGGTAACACAATGTAGAGTGTTGCAGGCAATGTACTGTGCACAGAGTTATGACAAGTGGAAAATGACAAGAAGGGTTGGTTGGCACAGGAGATCAGCAGCCGCTGTCTAAATACTGTCGGGTGGCACCAGCCTGTGTTCTTTTTTTAGGTGCCTCAGGATCCATCAAATCCACAGCCTGCCTAGGAAACATCCCATTTTGAAATTTACTTCGGGTGGCAGCTTTCTCTCCAACCAGGCAAAGGCTTCCATCCTGCAGACACTACCTCCTCTACCCACCTAGTGATGGCATTCAGTGAAGGCCAAGGGAAACTCACCAATGCTGCATCCTAACCCTCTCCAGCCATCAACATTGGGAGTGTTCATGTTGTGCTCAGACAGAGCAGGATAATAAAAACAGCATGAGCCACAGCATGCTTACTCAGAAGTAAATCCCACTGCTCCAATGAAGCTTCCTTCCATGTAGGTGTGCAGATTGTAGCCAAACTTCTGTTGCTCTATAAAAAGGCCACAACATTCTTTGCAGATGTTATTTGGCTGATCTTTGACTCCTAGGCTACTGCTGAATTGTTTCGGGAAGGCTCAGCTTTAGACAATCCCCAGTGTTTTCACATGTTGCTACTGCAACAGAAGCCACATTTCTTAGCAAGTTAAATCCTTATTCTGCCTAACAAAATACCTGGACCTGTAAATGAGTGCTCAAGGTTAGTATTTCTAGAAGAGTAGACTGAGCTACTTTTATGCCCTTCATGAGTTTCTGTACATGAAATTGATTAATTAGCCTCTGACTCCTGTGTGGATAATTCCAAGCAAAATCAGCCAAAATAATTGCAAACAAGATCATAAGTAGCTATCAGAGAAAGCGCTTTGCAGTTTCACTCTCTTCTAGTGTGGTTGTTTAATATTATTCAGTGTTTCTTTTTAAAGAGGTGGTGTAAGCCAAATATTGCCTGAGACATGCAGCTGGGATAGCTCAGCCAGTACAGCATGTGACTCTTAATCTCAGGGTTGTGGGTTCAAGTCACACGTTGGGCAAGAGATTCCTGCATGGGGGGAGTTGGACTAGATGAACCTTGTGGTCTCTTCCAAACTCTACAATTCTGTGATTCTATGTAAACTGATTTACTACTACTAGCTTTATAGAGAAAGGAGATTGACAAAAGCACCATGTCCCAGTTAAGGAATTCAACAACGTTTGGGGGATGGCACAGTGGAGTCCTGAGTAGCAGAGAATGGCTAAGGTACAGTTCAGTTAGTTTGGTGGGTGGGGGGACTTTTCTAACAGTAGCATTTAAGGAACTAACATTAGGCAATATTTAATAGGATACCAAAAGCTTACTGTCATCCTTCGTAGAATGTAAGCTCCGGCCCTTAAGTTTCTAATGATGCAGTTGATTTCAAAAACATTTTCAGTATTGGAAGCTTTATGCCTTAATAGTCCCTGGCTTGATGAAGACTGAATCCATTTAGACTGTGTCCCTACATGTTCAGCTTATTCAGAATCCTCCTGAAAGTGTCAGTTCAAGGCAATACTGGGATATCCAGTCCAGCGAAAATGGGCAGGAGGACAGCAGAAGGCACTTCCTTTGGGGTAGCAAGCTCTACTGATGTTCCCCTTCCTGTTTTTAAAAGGTCCTGAAGGTAGACTGAAGAGAAGGGAACATTCAGCTTGCATAAAAAATGGTGTGTGTTTGGAAAGAGACTTTGATCATGAGAGCTGAAACTTAGTCATCTTAGCCGTTTCCCCAAGGAAATAATTCCTTCTAAAATCTGAAGTCCAGACAGCAAAGATGACAAGGGCTTCTCCAGACTTTACTTACGGCTAGTTGGTTTTCATTCCATACCAGTTGCTTCTTTACAAGGTCAACATTTGTACAGGATATGGAGATGAGGCTTACATCATTGAAGCTGTTTGGGTTCTGGTCTGTTACAGTAACAGGGACTGATGCTTAAAACAAGCTTTCCTTTTAACAAGAAGTGGCAGAATTTATTAATTTTAAGTGCCTTCATATCTCCTTTAATGTTATTTAAAAAGCAGTTGCAAGTTTTTGTAATATGAAATATATTTAAACGCTACTCACTTGTGGCCTTTTCAGTAAATGTGCCCTTTAAAAAGTTATATCAATAGTTCAAGAATAAATTATTCTGTTTGAATTCAGAATTTGGAGCTAAAATTGGTATTGATGTACTTTTAACAGTACAACAATCAAAAGTCCTGGCTGCAGACTAAACCTTTAATACTGTATTCATCTTCTCAGATAACATTGTGTATATAATTAGTACAATTTTCTTTATGTTCTTTCTCTGTGAATTTGTTAGGCAGCAAAACCTGTTACAAATGTATACAGTGACAATGAGAGCATTAGATGGTGTTGCCTGGTTGGTGGTTCTTCAATCAAAAGGTGAAGAAAGCATTATACTATAAACTCAGAGGGCACTTGAAAGTCAGTAAAAGGAGCACTTTCTATGGGAATTTGCTCAACCAGACTATTAATTGTCACGGCATGAGAGCTAGATAAAAAAAACCTGGTTGATCTGCAAGCAATTTTATACTCAGTAGAGTTCTCTTCCTACTTCTTGGGAACATTTGTACAACATTTTTAGAAGAAGCAAATTATCAAGTGCTAAGTGTAGAGACATGAAAGTATGTGGTTTTATTGAACACTTTGAAATAAATGATAATCAGCTCTAATGGTGCTCTTTGGACAGGAAGTAGCGAGTGAGTCCAGCTTTGTGGTTCATAGCTTGCGGTGAACAACTGACAGAGCAGATAAAGCTAGACAAGGCTAAGTAAGAAGAACCCTGCTAGATCAGAGAAACAGAAATGAGATTCTGGATTCCATGGCCAGACAGACAGGATCACCAAATAACTTGAGAGCAATAGCCTCCCTCCATTATTTATCCCCTAGCAACTGATTTTTAGAGGTATTATGCCTCTAAACATGAAAAATCCATGTAGCTATTAGTCATTGGTAGACCTGTGATATATGAAATTGTCCCATTTGTCTTTGCCTGTCTAGGTAGCCCTACATTTGAAACAGGCAGTATTTCCAGGATGCTCTCTTGGAGGTCTGAACCTCAATTTCTTAAACTAGAACCTCATATGTGCATTAAGTTTACTGTAGTGCGGATAAAAGACCCCAGCACTGCCTTGCTGAACTGGGCTAGATGGATCATTGGTGTAACTTCTTAATGAGGAGTATTCTAATAGGACCCTTTTCTGGGTTTTTTCAGCGTGTGTCCTAAGGCAACAACAACAAAACACAGACTACATGTGGCTTGCCAAGGCTTCCTTTTGTACCTTCAGAGTAGCAACCTCAAAGGTCAGGGGTGAGGATCCTCTGGTCTATGGGCCTAATTAGGCCTGCCAGGTTTCTCCATTTGGCTGCCGGGCCATTTTAAACAAATCACAGCAATATATGATGCCAGAAATGGGATAGGTAAAGGTGGTGCTTGGACAAAAGGTGGTGTTTTGCAGGCTGATTGGCTGTGCCTGCAAAGTTTCTTGTGCCGCTGTTCCCAAGCACCAAAAACCAGTTGGTTCTTGGGAAGCACTGCACCCCCATATTTGCCAGCATGGTTTGATTTCGAACCACAGGTCATCATTGTGATGTCAAGTGATTGACAGGTAGGCTGCCCTACCTGTCAGACTTGGTGAATGGTAAGATGTGTGGAGATGAGGATCCAGTCTGCTGGAAGGATCCAGTTCCCCAAAGCTGCCATAGGTGAATCACCACATGACTGAAGGAAGCAACAGTGGAGTAGGGATGTGTAGTCCAGGCTGAAGACCTTGGAATCTGAGAGCAACAGATTATGCACATGCCATCCACCCCTCCCACAAAGCAGTCTTCAGGTGCATTGTGAATCAGCAACTATTCATTTTAATCTGAATATTTAAGAAACCGCTTACAATGCCATAAAGTCTGCTCTATTTTCATATTCCAAGAACAGATTGCAGTGAAGGCATTCACAAATTCCTTCCTTCTTACACTAAAAGCACCACAAAATTAAGCACCAAATTAGTATTCAGTCCATTTCTGCTTAGCTATTCTAACCTTTAAATGCAATGGTCATGCATAGCAAAGATAAACGTGGCTGGTCACTGGGTGTCACTGTTGGTTTACAGACACATTTCTGAAAGCATACAGCACTGGCAGAAAAAAGTTTCTTCTCCCCCAAGGTGGTGGTGGAGGGGGGGTTATAATCAGAAATGTCTGGATATTTGGTACAGCTTTAATTTTGGCTCCTATCGTGTCAGGCAGTAAGCTAGGATGATGTGCCATACTTTGAAAATGCACCATCTGCTGCTCGTTAGCTGACAAAGGCAGCAACCTACCAACTCTCTAAGTAGCTGTTGCTCATTAGCTGACAAAAGCCACTTTCAATGCTCACATATTATTAGATTATTTTAGACAGAAGAAGATTATATTTGATGAAGAAAGGGTGGGGGGAGTAAAGAATGAAACACAGAACACAAAGGGAAATTAAATATGGCAGCATGATCAGGATCCGACTCCCAGTGAAGCTGAAGACAAGATTCACAATTAAACACCGATGTGATGTGTGCTTGGGACTCTGGGAAAACACCTCCCAGCTGTTCCAGAGATACTGTTAGCAAAATGAGAAACAAAATATATTTCACAATATAATCCTCTCCCTCAGGTTTACCTTAGTTTCCCTAACACTTCTTTTCATACTTTCCTATTTTTGTGTATGTGATCAGCAGTCAGACCTGGAGACTGGTCCTCTTCTCCTCGGTGCCCTCTCACTGCAGACTGACAGATGCTGCGTGAACAAGCCTGGCCAATGTGCTTGGGACCAGAACTGACTTCAGAAACAAGAGAGTTAACAGTCTCCTCCAGCTCCTTCAATTTATCCTGGCTTTTGTTTGGGATTTTGCATGTGTCAAGAGTAATCTTGGCTTCTATTGAAGAAAGCCACCTAGGGTCAATTCTTTTCCGCCTATTACAAGCAGCTTTCATAAGATGCAAAACCAATCACCAGGGCTACACACTTTTCACAACTTTGTTGGCTAGTAGCAGCCACCTCAACAGCTATTTTAAAGGAATTTAAGAGGTTCTCTATTTCAAGAGATGTCAAACTAACCTACATTGGAACAATGAGAAATGAAGGGTTGTACAGAGGATTACTGAAGTGGCACACCCAGGAGCACTTAATGAGGATTTGCCATACATTGGCCTGGTTTGCACAGCACACTAAGCTAAATCATGGCTTGGCACAAATATGTAAAGTGCTCCATCCCAGTTGTTCTGCTGCTGTGCTGTACTGCATGGCTTGTGTGTCATCCCAACTCAGGCTCACGGTTTAGCTGTCCTGTACAAACCACCAGCCATAAACGCAGGGCAAACTATGTTTACAGCTTGTGGTTAGTCTGAAAAAAGTGAAATCACAAGTCTGAGTTTGGACAATAAGCTAAGTCAAGCCATGACTTACCTAAGCAAAGCAGCTGCAATCCTGTCTCCCCAACCCACCTGCTTTTACCAAGCTATGATTTGGCTTAGGTAAAGGTAAAGGGACCCCTGACCATTAGGTCCAGTCGTGGACGACTCTGGGGTTGCGGCGCTCATCTCACTTTATTGGCCGAGGGAGCCGGCGTACAGCTTCCGGGTCATGTGGCCAGCATGACTAAGCTGCTTCTGGCGAACCAGAGCAGCGCACGGAAACGCCGTTTACATTCCCGCCGATACCTATTTATCTGCTTGCACTTTGACATGCTTTTGAACTGCTAGGTCGGCAGGAGCAGGGACCGAGCAACGGGAGCTCACCCCGTTGCGGGGATTTGAACTGCCGACCTTCTGATCGGCAAGTCCTAGGCTCTGTGGTTTAACCCACAGCACCACCTGTGTCCCTATGATTTGGCTTAGTGTGATGTATAAACCAGGCCACTGACTAATTGTCCATTTTACTCAGCTTTTTGGACTTAGTAATTTAGTTATGTAATGTTGGCCCATTCCTTCCATTCTACTATTCCAATTCCGCTAATTGCAAATTGTGAACCAAGGAATGATAGCTTC